GCCTTGGCGTAGTTGCTCACGAACTGGTCCTGCAGGAAAGAGCCGGCCATGGCGTAGCGGGCCCCGGGCACGATCTGCGAGCGCGGGGAGTCGTTGGGCGAGGGGGTCAGGCGGTCCATGTCGCAGCCAGTGTAGATCCTGAGAGGGAGGGAGAGAGAGAAAACCGAAGGGTGGCGCAGAGGTCCCTTGAGGGGGTCAAAAAAGAAGGCCACCCATTTTCGCCCACCCCTACACTCTCCACGTGTAACTTGCCGTCTAGGTTAGAGACAGACAAAAGGTCACGGACCGGCATCCTCCCCAGAATAAATCACGAAATTATCAAGGAACCAGTTTGTCTATTCAAGGACCTAAAAATGATACAGACCCAGAGGAAGGCTTCTCTTGCCAAGTGTACAGAGAGCCGAGAGAGGAGCACAGCAGGGAATTCTCACCCCACTTCTCCAATGTATGTATACACACAGAAGCAGATCTACCTAGGGGCTAAGGTGCTATTTGCCCAGTGGGCCTCTCTTCTGCGGTGAGTTTCCAAACAAGTTGCCCACTCCACCCTTTAACACCGCTTTCTAACATTTGACACACACGAAGGCTATCCAGATAGTAAAGATCAGACTGGCCTTCACCAGTCTTCTGCAACCAGAGGATTATTGCTGGAAGTCTCCATAGTACTTACTGACTACTGTTTTCCCTTGTGTGATCTTTTAACCCCACAGCCACAAATACAAACAAGAATTACTACTTGGAAACAAAGTTATCAATCAATAAAATTATTTTATAAAGAAAAAGTGTTCTTTACTCTGACCTTCTCTCCCCAGCTTTCGATCTGTTACTGGTTAAAAACAAAACAAAACCAACTTGGGGAGCAAACTCTCACAGTTATCAACCTCCAATCTCCCACTAATAATAGCTAATCCTTATACAGCTCGATTGTGTACCAGGCACTCTTGTCTAGGACAAGAAAAATTACTGAATTAAATAGTAATTTATTTAACCATCACAACAATTTTCCAAGTTAGGTACCATTATTATCCCACTTTACAGATGAAGAAACTGAGGCAAAGGGACGTTAAATAACTTGCCCAATCACAGACAGTAATTGTGTTACTGGGAATTCCCTTCAATAAAATAAAGATTAATTCTAGGCCTTGGGCCTAGAAAATCCCATTAGAATTGAGAAGGAACCAGAGATTGGTTCAAGATTGGTAAAAGTGTTTTCTCATACACATACACACATGCCTCCTTTTAATTTAGCTCACACATAAATGTTTTAATCTTTAATCAACAGACTGTTTTGAAAGAGAGCCTTAGTCTTTTCAGACCTCTATTCTTTGGGGAGGAGATTCTCTGGTGAGTGGCCAAGCAAACCCCTTGGTTCCCTGAACTTTTTATTGCTTTCCTTGCTTCATCAAAATTGAGCCATGTCCAAATAACCAATATAACAATGGAAAGGGAGAGAGTGTCATAAACCATTCTACTCTTCTTTAACCCCTAGAACTCCAAGGTATCCATTTGTATTGGTACAGAAGACTTTTATGATACATATATAGCGATTTAAGAATCACATGGAAGTGGCTTTTCCAACAGAAATCAGCCAGAAGAGGAGTAGGTGAGGGTTATGCTGTGACTGCTCAGGTCCAGTTTGCTTACTGCACAAAATTTCCCTCCTGAAGTTTAATTTCAGTCCCAGATAAGAAAAAGTAGAGGGAGGCAGGAAGGGAACATAACCAGCAAGGTGCAAATATCTTCTCTGTTTACCACCACAATATTTTAAAAAGAAAAAAAAACAGTCGGCAAAGGATACAGTTTATATGCCCATCCAGGTCCCAATCCACTTGGGATTACCAAATTGATTTGTGCAAAATAAAATGCTTTGTAACAGATGTTCACAACAGAATTAAAAGCTCAAAATCTACAAGACCCTCTAGTACAGAGACCAATATCTCTGGTCTCCTGGGCCACACACTTTCCACTGTGCCGAGCCCACCGTTTTTGATTGTGAGGAAAGACTAGAATAACCAAGTGTTTTTTTCTGGGGAATCATACTGATAAGGCTTTCTTCCTTTAACCTATTTTTGAGGGATGCACATGACAGTTCTAAGTAGTATCATCAATGACTCTCTTTTCAATTTGCTATAAAAATAAAAGGAGGGAAGGCTGGTATCTACCTGGAGGTGTCCACTAGTACCTTTTCCCACAAGTTTAATCTACTTGTAGTCAAAGACAACTTCAACTTCGTAGCTCTGTCCCAAGCACTTAGTACAAGCCATGAAATCAAAGTTTATCTACCATTCCCTTTTATGATCAGAAAAAAAGTAAAGGGATCTCCACCATCCAGATTTAGGTTTTGCTATATAACTCTGTATGAACTTCTACCACTGTACTTGTACTCTGAGCAAGAATGCTAGAACAAACTCAGAAAGCATTTAGTTTACACCTAGTGTTGCCCCCAGAGGACAGCATTTTTGGTAGAAAAGAATTGGAGACAGGTAAGGGAGGCCTGGAGAAAAGAGAACCAACACATTTAATTAAAACACACCTAGATACAAAAGATAAGAGGAATATTTTTCTTTTGAAGCGTAAATAATACACAGCAGTAGCACCTGGGTCCTTCTCAAAGCCTGAAATGACTGCGACATCGGCTATGCCCATGAACTTGCCTGTAGTGGGTGCACATTTTTTATTCAGTCCATAGTAAACTTGCACAGGAAAAGCTATTACACAAAACTTGGAAATGGGTAAATAAAAGTCACATATGCCAAGGAGACTGTAACAACTGCCAGAGCCACATGCACTTTCAGGCAGAATCGGGCGGTTTCAGACACAGACAATCTGAGCTGAGCATCTGCAGCGCCACACACAACTCCCGCACCCGGGGAACCAGGGCAGCTTCGCCAGCCAGCCAGCCAGCCAGCCCCAGAGGCCCGCCAACAACTTTGTAATTCATAAGAAAGCTAAAAATAGGTGGAGGAAACCTTTGACCAAAACCACAGAAGTACAAAGCCAGAAGGTCACTAGAGAGAAGGGGAGCTGACAAAAAGGATAGGGAAAACCTCAAAAACAACCCCGTCTTCACACTTCCTAGCTTCCAAAAACATACAAAACAATCCACCTTTGACCTAAAGCCCAAATCCACAAATTTGAGAAGAAAGGTGCAAAACTACTTACGTATCATAATTATCCCGAAATCCTTTTGCAAAGGGGTTGTGATCTATTTTCAGTTGTGTAATCTGGAAAAGAGAAAAAAAAGATTAATATGATTTTACTTTCATACAGAGGACTGGGTGTTTGAAAATATGTCATCTGCCACTTTTTACAGAGGCTTAAGGCCTACAATTTCATTAACTAGAAGGTTTCATTAGCTGAAAATTTTGAGGGAATGGATGTAAAGGAGAAAAAGAGAAAGTATGATATAAGTTATGAGGAACATGTTTAAATTAATGCTGCCTAAAACTAAAGGACTGCTTTCAATTAGCTCTCCCATGTGTTCTAAATTGGTTCAAATGCACATTTTTGAAATGCTTGTTACACAGTGCACTTACTCAGACAAAAATCTTTAAGGGGCACTTAAATTCGTCACCAAATGTTGCCCATTTTAAATATTTCATCACTTTTTTTGAAGTTGTTTGATTCTGATACACAACTTGGAGAACCCACAAGTTGCATCTTAAAATCAGTTTTAATTTAAAATAAATGCATATTTTTCATTTCTGATATTTTCACTTTAAAAAAAAAAAAACACTTCCAGTAGTCAAATCAACAGTAGTAAAGTAAGTTTTTGCAAACTTGAAAATGCTGAAGTGATCGAGGAGTAGAAAACTCATTCCATATCCCCCAGTAATTTGATTTTTTGTTGTTTTTACATATATGAATGTGTGTTTCTTTTGATCATCCAAAAAGTGATGTTTGTTTATTTCAGCCATCAGTTCTGAGACTTAAAAAAAAAATTTAAAGATAACGCCAAATCTTGCCAAGAATAAAATGCTGGGGGAAAATCTGCTTGTTTTCTAAAGGGAAGAAGGACTTAAAAAAAAAAAAGAGGAAGATTTAAATCTGTTCTAGTTTGAGAACTAAATTAAAATTCCCAAGAGAAGAGGCCCTAGAAATCCTGGTCATCTCCAAGGTGGCCCGAATGACCCGCAAAGGAGACGAATAGGGAGCATTTTCCCAACGGCTAGGTATTCAGGGAAGGTGCCCAGCAGGCCCCTTACAGCCCTTTGCCCAAAAGGTGCAGCAGAGCCAGCTGTTGCTGATGTTAGTGCCCGAGCCAGGGATGGCCGAGGGGTACCAGCGCGTGCCCGGGGAAGCGGGTGCCGCGGGCCGCGAGCCCAGCCCCCAGGCCTCCTTACATCGGTGTTTTGATAGGCGGTGACGGCGATGAACTGAGTCTCGGGGAAAGTGAATGTCTGCACGCGGCCGGGCTGGCTGGTGTCCTCCGTGCCATCCTCGTTCACTTCCACCACATGCAGGCGGGGCTGGTACTTGTGCAAGGACTGTAAAACCACCATCTGTCCGGCGGAGAGAAAGGGGAGCACGGGGCGGCGCGTTAACGCGATCGGCGAGCGCGAGGCTGTGCGTCGCGGACCGCGCGGAGGCTGCCTGGAGCCCGCTGCTCCGGCTAACTGACCGCGGAACTCGCCCGGCTGGTGACTGGCTGGCTGAGGCCGACCAGCCCTCGCTCCTCGGGAGCATGGATCGCCCGAGCACCGGATGAAAATCGAACCAGACCGCCCAATCCTCAGGGCCCTTCTCCCCGTCCTCCTCTAAGGAGAAACAAAGATTTTTCACAACCTGCAGATCCTCTGCTTTTCCTTCTCGAAATCAACCAAGTATTTGTACTTGAGAAGGTCTGGAACTTGGGGATTGGGCGGTGGTTGGGGGCGGGAGCGCGAGAACAACTTTATAGATTATTTAATATAATTTTGGAGGATGGAAATAGAATTTTTTAGAAGTCTTTTTAAAGAAGCAAACAAACGTGTGCTCAGTTTCTCATGCTGATTTAAAGTGAGGAACTGCATCTTAGGGAAGAGTGTTATGAGTGAGTGTGTGTATATGTGTATGTTTGAGAGACAGAGAGAGAGACAGAGAAATGAGCGCTTGAGCCACTGACCTGCCCATTGTTGTTTGAAGCTCCCTTGTTGTTTGTAAGTTTTAATTTTCCGAAAGATATTTCTTGACGCATCCAGTGAGCCCCCGTGTTGGGGGAATCCGGATGCATATAAACCCGATTTCCTAGAGAAAGAAATAAGTTGTTTACATATGCCCCGGGCACTGTCCAGTCCCAACTCCTCACCACGCTGGACACACATACACACATACACACACACCCCTTATTCCACGGTGAGGCCCATTAGCTGGGGCTTTTTTAGACTGCACTTTCTTCCTATTAACTGGGGGTGATTAAAATAGCTTTTGCATAATCCTCCCCCTTCTCGAAGCTCAGTCTGTCCCCCTTTCCCCCTCATTTCCTTTTAGAAGTCATTGGCCGATCATTTTATAAGTCGCTCGAGCCAGTCCACAAAGGCTTTAATTAATCATTCTCACCTAAATAAGTGTCAGGAAAACGTGTTAATTGGAAGGACTTGCCTTGCACATTGGTGTCCGCTTTGCCGCAAGGAACCCATTTGCCTCCTTGAAACCTCCAGTGATTGGGATCCGCCAAAATCACATCCACAAAAATATTGTAATGAGCCGTGGGATCGAGACCAGAAATGTTAAAACTTAAAAAAGGAAACATGCGCCTATTTAAATTAAGGGAGGGGGAGAGAAAACAAGGGGGAAAAACATAAATGTTAAAGATTAAATGCAAGAAGCGCGGCGCCAGATAGCAAAGCAAAACTTGTTCTCTCAGCGTCGATGGACGAATGTTTGCTGGGTTGGAAAAGAGGTGGTGGGGGAGGAAAAGAAGTGGGGCTGAAGTCGGGGAGATCCGCAGGTGAGCTGAAGTGGGGAGTCGGCAGGTATTACTGCCCAGGTGGAAAGCGAGGTTGGCGACCCGAACCTCCACCTGTCGGTGCATCGGGCTTTGATGCGTCCCTCCCATCTCCCGCCCGCCGACCAGGGCGCTCCCTCTCTCTCTCCGTTCTCCGACCACTGACTGGCTCCCCGACCACCTTTCAGAGCGGCACCCCCTCCCCAACATCACCACGGTAGTTATACCTTCCACCTTCCGTTTTCCCAACACCAGCCAACTCTAGGACTCACTGGAGCGCCTTCCGCTCCGCTCCCGACCCCAAATCGTCGCTGCCGCGGCGGTCACAACCTGGGTGCACTTGCCCCCGGGTCGCGCCTGGAGCAGAGGCAGCCAAGAATGTAGCATTACCTTCCCTGTTTGGTGATGATCATCTCCGTTTGGTGCCGGTGAAATTTCAGCCAAAGGGGCCTGTTGCACAAGTACACCTGCGCTTTGCCGGGCACCAGCCCAGGCTGTGTGGAAGAGAACTGGTAGAACGGGGCTCCTTGGTAGGAGTGGCCGTACTGCTGTGGGTAGGGGTAGCCGGCGGTTGGGTAGCCCTGCGGTGAGGAGTTGGACAGGAGGCTGTTGTAGGCTCCGTTGGTGATGACCGGGTGGTGGGCCATGTAGCGGCTGGGGCTGCCGATGGAGAAGGCGGGGTGCGCCGGTCCGTGCTGGCCGGGGTACGGGAACATGGCACTGGGAGCAGTGGCCGCAGACTGTGGCTGGCTGGACTGAGAGAGGAGGTAGCGATCTGCAGCAGAGCCATCGAAACTGTGACGAAGCTCAGAGACCCCGTCCAAGACAGGAGAGAGTTTACTTCTCTGGACGTCCCCTGGTGAGTCCTTGGAGTCAGGAAAATTGTCTGTATCTGACTGATTCGTCATCCCCCTGGTAATTTTTTTCAAAGGTGAACTTCTCTCCAGGTTGTCAGTGGTCGAGATAATGGGATGATCGTGCAAGACAAGCTCAGATCCGCCTGAATGTGGGTAGCTGCTGCTCACATTGAGAAATTTCTTGGAGAGCATGATAGAAGGAGAAAGGCAGTGCTCCAGCTGCATAGCTCCAGAACCTGAACACTCGCCCTCCTGTCCCTGATTTTTAAAGTCCTATTTATCATAAACTAGAAATCCACAGACCCCCTCACTAGACAGAAAGCACTTCAACCAGCAAATGCTTCTCAAAGGTTTGATTTACTTTTTTTTTTTCCCTGGGAGAAGAGATTGGCCAATTGACACTATGCAGCAATCAGAAAAGGCTCACTTTTGATCTTGCTGCTTGTGCAGCCGATGAAACGGCTCCTGCCATTGGTTAACTGCTGACAGTAATTTAATTAGATAGACATTAATTAGGATAATCACCTGGCTCCTGGTCGCGACGATCATGGCAAATTGAAGGGGATGATTTTATTGTTGGCTTGGGGGGTGGGGTGGGGAATGTGTGTTGGTTTTACGTGAGCACTGTTGTGTCACCTTTAAGCTTTGTGACCACTGCTTTAGGAAGATTCAAAGATGTGCAATTTACTAAACATTTTCCTACCTTCCCCCCCCCCACCTCCCTCCTTTGGAGCTGAGGGGCGGAGGAGGGAATTCAACGATGCTAGGAGACTTTTCGGATCTGAATGAGCCAAATATTCAGTTGAATGTAACGATTTCAAGTGCAAAGTATACAAAGCGCGAGCCGGTGGCCTCTTCTCGCCCTGTAAAAGTTCCAGAGTCTGTCTTTTCCAGTTAATACAGAAGCACAAGACACCTGAGCCAGTCCTTTGTGAGCAGGTCCTGCGTGTACTCCACGAACACCCCCACGAATGCACACCTTTTTAACTACATACATAAATAAATAAATCACTGCTGCTGAGAGTCACAGCCATGAAAGTGAGCGGGAAGGGGGAGTAGTGGAGGCGAAAAGCAGCAACTCACCCACCCATCCACCCACCTCGGGAAGGTTCGGTTTCTTGGTTGAGCACAGAAACAGTGACAATGAATGATCTCCTTTTTAAGTTTTGAAATAATCATAAGCTGTCGGGCTGAAGTGCCTTAATGTATTTGCAGTGATGTTTACGAGGCCTTTACTAAATATTTTATCATCGAGCTTGGTTGCAGATTATCTGAAGAGCATGTAACTGGGGGCAGGCGCCATGCATCCCTCGCGTCCCACTGCACTTCCTTCTCTCTGAGGTACAGCGTTGGCGACAGGTTCAAAATCCTGGCCAGAAAAAGAGGGCCGAATCCTCGAGCAAATGGATTCGCTAGAAGCGCTGATCTGGGGAGACAGAGTGGAAGTGGTGTCAATGCAGTGATCGTTATAGAAGAGTCGTGTGTGTGTGTGTGTGTGTGTGTGTGTGTGTGTGTGTGTGTGTGTGTGTAATGTTTATGTAATCTGGAGGGGAGAAAAAGAATTTATGCCAGTAATTTTAAAACGAGAAAGAAGCTAAAGAGAAATAGAGAAAAGAATTTAAAAGGATGTTGGCACAAATAAATAGCACGAGGCACAGAGCGACCCCGAGGTGCAGAAAGAAATCTACTGGTACTGACTGTACAGAGAAGCCCAACCCTCCGCCTGAACCAGAGGGCCAAGAGCAGCAGAGGCTTTACCGCCCGAAGCTGCTTCCAGTGGCCAGCACCCGCCAACCCGCCCTCCAGTGGCTTTCCCCGGGACGCCGAGCGCGCGGGAACCAGGAGGAGGAGCGCAGCTCCGGAGCTCAGCTCGGCCCCGGGAGCTGGCTGGCCGCTCTACGCGGGACACTGCAGGGAGCCGGCGACGGGAGAGGCCACCCTCGCGCCCAACCCCTAGACCAGCCGCCCCGCTCAGCTTCCATTGTCTGAGGTCCCCAAGCAGCCTGAGAGTAGTCTCCCCAGTACCCTGGCGATCCCGAGACGTAGCAGCCGCCCGGAGACTGGCCGAGCGCGGGGCGAGCTGCGTCTGGCGCAGACCCCAGGACACTCTCTCCGTGCCGGAGGCTCGGCCTGGATGCCTCTGCCCGGGGGAACTCGTGCCTTCCTCCGAGAGAGCGCGTCTGCCTTCCACCGGCCCCGGCCGCTCCCTGAGGGAGAGCGGCGCTGGGAACATTGGGTGGGTCCTGGGCTGTACAGAGAGGAGTTGACCAGACTCGACCTACGCCTAGGCGACCGCATTTTGAGAGCGCTCCTCGGTGGCCGAGTGGTCGAGGGAGAGACTGCCCCCCGAGGTGGGCAGGGCGCCTTGGCTGCAGAGGGCACCAGCTGTGGGCTCCAGCAGGGCACCGCGAGCAAGGCCCGGCGCGGGCGGTCCAGGGCTGGAAGGGTTGATGGCCAGATGTCCCAGACTCAAGCCGAGATTGTTTTCTGGGAGAAAAATACAGCCAGAGCCCCATTTTCCTTTTCTTTCGAAAGCAAATTTCAGCTCCTGGCCAGGAAGCTTCACAAACAAGCAGGGTCTTAGCTGCTGAGGCTTTGGGGGTGTGGGGGAGGGGACAGTAGCTGTGACACTATTTGATACTTGGCTTTTTTGCCCTTTATCTTCCACCGCCATTTCTCCCAAGAGCCTTTTGCTGTACTTTGGCTACTCTTGCTTTCCCCTTTCTTTGATCATTAACTTCTTTATCCCTGAATGCTTTTCTCTCCACAGCTTCCAGGGTTATCCCCTCACTCTGACATCAGTGGGACACAGAGTCTTAAGTGTGTAGCAAAAAGGAGACACGCTACCTGGCCTCTTTATCAAGTTTTGCCATTCCTGGTAACCTGAACTGGCTTTTTTTTTTAATGAAGAATGCTAAAATGACATATTAAACTATAGAAAAATGAATAGAGTGCATCTTTCTCAGAGTTTTTAAGGAATTGGATTAGGAGATAAATGTGCACTCACTAAGATCATCAGTACTGAATTCAGTGATTCCTCATATATAGGCTACACCTTTAATTCATATATGCTCAGGAAGGGAAACTAAGGTTTTTGTCAGGATCACAGGATCTGCACATTTTTTCTTGAACCATACTTATGTAGAGCAGGGCTTCTCAAACTTTAAAGTGCCTATGAACCACACAAGTATTCTTGATTCTGATGCAGTAGGTCTATATACATAATGAGCTCCCAGAAGACCCTGGTGCTCTTGGTCCAGGCAGATCACACTACAGTAAGGCGGGAGATTTCAATGCCCCCATACTAGTCTAAGAGGACACCAGGTCATCTCTTTATTAGAGGCAAGCAAGAGTTTTTGTTCTAGTGCAGCTTTAGC